GGATTCTGATGAAATCTCTATGCAACCAAGCGCGCCTTATTGTGCTGAATCGAACGATCCGAGTTTCATTTAATACGAAAAATCCACTTGTTCCCAACAACATTCATTGAATGTGAGAATGGAACAAGATGCCACATACGGTTCTTTACCAATGCATCAAACTCAAGATCCATGGCCTCCTTCCACTGTGGTGTAGCCAAGGCATCCTTCACTCGAGTATGCTCTGTAAGTAACCAATCTGTAGCAGTGGTAGAGACCCATGATTTTGGCTTAAACACGCCTGCCTGGGCTCTTGTAATTATATGGAGAGTGTTCTGTACAGGGGTTGATGCATGTTGGGAAGTGGGTTGGGACGGCTCAGGTGTGGAAGAATCAATTGGAGAAGAAGAGGAAGATGGATTTTGGGACACCGTAGGAAAAGTGAGTTCAAAAAGAGGTGAGATGGCTGCTGGTAGGGAAGATATAGGAGGAGATAAATTTAAGCTAGGTGAGATAGGTGGTTGTGGTGATGACACATGAGGAGACAAATTTTGAGTTGGGTTATATGTTGTGAGGAGGACAGCACATGAGGTTGGTGTAATGGGCTGGACATGTGCCAACAGAGTGGACTAGGTAGGTGGCTGGTGGGGAATCAAGTTAGGAAACCATGTAGCAAGTGAAGGGGCTGGTGCAATCGGAGAGCCAGTGACAAAGGCCTCAAATCTAGTCGCAAAAGGAAATTCATCCTCGTTGAAACGGACATGACGGGAGATAAAAATTCTACCAGATGAATTGAGACATTTGCAGCCTTTATGAACCGAGCTTGGACCAAAATACACACATTTTTCAGAATGGAATTGAAATTTATGCACATGACAGGGACGTAGACATGGGTAGCAAGAACAACCAAATGTCTTAAAGACCAGAAAAATTGAGCCTTGTATTAAGCAGTAACTCCATAGGAGATTTATCATGTATCACTATAGATAGAAGGCCATTAATGAGCAGCGTGGAGGTCAAAAATGCATCCAGCAGTAACGACATTGAAGTTTGGGTAAGCAATATAAGACCAGTCTCAACAATTTGACGATGTCTTCGCTCTACCCAACCATTCTGTGCTGATGTAAAAGAACAAGAGCATGGAGAAGTAATACCCAATTGAAAATATAACTGATGAATGCATTTGTGTTCTCCACCATTATCTTATTGTAACACTTTAACTGAACTATTAAATTGGGTCTTTACTAAAGCAACAAAATGACAAAATGATTAAACACGGCAAGGGTATCACTCTTCAATTTAAGAGGATAATCCAGGAAAATCAACTAAAATCATCAAGAAAGTGAACATAGTACCGATACCCATCAACTGACTCAAGCGGAGCTGAATCCCATAGGTCCGTGTGAACCAAATCAAATGGAGCAGTAGCAAGAATTTGAATTGGCGAACGAAACAACATGAGATTTACCAAATTGACATGATTCACAAAATGTGAAAATATCATTCACTTTTACCGGTAGAAGACAATTTTTAACTAATAAATCAAGAACTTTGGAAGATGGGTGTCCAAGTCTTCGATGCCACGTAACTTTAGACACCACAAAATTTACACTAAGAGCAAAATTAGAAAGAATATAAGCAGAGTGAGAAACTTTATCATTAGCCAACTCCAAGCAACCCGTAGTGTGACTTGAAGCACTACCAGTGACTGCACCTCCAGTGTCAAGTTGGTAAAGTCCATCTTTAAGAGACCCCTTCAGCACTACCTTGCCCGAATGAATGTCCTTTACAAGACAGAAATTAGCATGAAATTCCAAAAACACATCATTATCTCGAGCAAGTTTTGACACACTTACAAGATTTTTAGCAATGTCAGGCACACAAAGTACATTCTCATGATTAAACAATATGATCAGAGGTAAACAAGATTTACCAACATGAGAAATCATCAATTTATTTTCATTAGCGACTTTCACTTTTTCCGTACTTCCATACTACGGAAGGATGTATAATATTATGGTAGTTCGCTGTCACATGATTTAAGGCACCACTGTCAACATACCAATTTGGATCTAGGACAGTTTCAGGATTTGCCACAAAATGATTGGTGTTCTCTGTTGTGAGAAAGGCATGGGGAGCTCGACTTGGATTATTTCTCCCATTTTGTGCATATGAACCATTGGGATTTCCAGTTTTTCCTTGATTTAAATTAGACCCTGCAAACTGTTTATCAAATCTGTGATAACAACCTGACAAATGAGACGATTGTTGTTGTTCCAACGACCTCTGCCACGACTTCGACCTCTACCACCCCTTTGATTATTATTAAAATGTTAGGTTTGCCGAATATTTTGTACTTGGGTGTTAAAGTATGTCTGTCATTGTCCGCCATGAACATTATTTTTGTTGTTTGCCATATTCACTTAGGTTGAATTAAATGGTAGCACTTTTCTGGGTGTTAGGGAGTTCAAATCTTTTTTCAAAGACAAGTAACTCTGCCTGCATTTCAGACCATGTAATTCATGTTCTTCCTTGAATCACAACAACAACTGGATTGTACTCTTCATATCCTAGTAAAACTTGAGAAATTAGTGAATGAGTAAAGACAGGACGACCCGTTTGACCCAAATTGTCACCATGAGACTTCATCACACGCAAATAATCAACCATTTTTAGAGAACTTTTACGAGTTTGTTGAAATACCTGACGAAGATGATCTTCCTCTGCTCGAGATTGAACTCCAAATAGCTCTTGAATGGCTGTCCAGAGATTACTAGCATTCTCGTATCCCATCACTTGAGTCGCCACCTCAGGGGTCATATAATTTTATAAAGCCATCCAAGGAGAAGTTGATCTATGGTCATCCAGGACTCGTACAGTGGATTTATCGTTGCTGACATAGTAGTTGCAGAGCATGACGCTTCTGTCACTATTGCTTCTGAGCTTGACGCTACAGTCACCATTTCAGTGGAGGTAAGCGTATTTGTTACCAATTAACGAACCTAGGAGGGCATGGTTTTTCACCAGATAAGTGTCCCTCCAACTTATAGTTGCGTAGAATGGGTAATGCAAGATTTTTCCAAAGAAGATAGTTGCTTTGATCCAATTTTATGGTGGTTATCTAGTTGAGCAATTGATTGAGGGGAGGATTGTTGAAAGTTTGATTTGCAGAGGATGCATTGTTGGACGACGAGACGTTGGCGATGGTAGCTCTGATACCAAGTGAGGAAACAATAGTAAATAAAGAAAAGCTATTTTCTAGCTTTGATTTGTTTGTATTTGATTACGAGAGCAGTGCTTTATATTTATACAATCAATTTGTTGTTTACTTATCTATAATGGTAGCTCTAAAACCTTAAACCATAAATACTGGCAACAACTAAACGGATAACAATTGAAGGAAGATTCTGTGGATTACATAGTAAATTTGTTGGAGAAAGATTCTGTAGTGGTTGAGGTGGCGTTGTTGTGATTAACAAAACTGTACGCCATTGTTGGGAGATTTTCCCTTCCACAGAAATATCCAAACACAATCAAAGTATATGAAAATAGGAAGAAAACTGTAAAAGCACAAGAATAACGACACAGCAAATTATATTGATTCACCACTAAGAACTACGTTCAGTCTTCCACTCAAATGTGGGTAATTCACTAATAATTGTTTATGCATTAGAATACAAAACTCTCCCCAATAATATACCCTAGAGGTCCCAACAAAAGCCCTCTAGCTTCTAAGTATTATAACACACTATACTTAGGAACAGGAATGAAAAACACTCACTCAACCCACTAGATACAGAATCCTTTTCAACACTGCCCACAACCACTCAAGTCTCTTTTATTACAAATGAAACCTTAACATAAGGACTCTATTTATAAGAGGCCAAATATCCTAATTCTTATAGGAAAATAATATTGTAATCCTTATAAGACAACAATATCCTACTCCCGGTAGGGATTGGTAATAGTGTTGAAAAATTCTTTTTTTCATAGGACATGTGTTTCTTATTTTGGCTCCATAATCCCTAAAAAACTAAGGGCTCCTTTGTTAATGATGTTGTTTCTGCTTTCCTTTCTTAAGGAATAAAAACATAATGACATTTTGTAAATGCTTTCTGTTTCGTATTCGTTTTTTAAATTATTGAAAAAAAATATATAAACATGTTTGGCAATCGTTTTTGGTTTCTCAATTGTAAATCAAAAAAGGTAAAATTTTTATATGAATATTAATTTTTTTATTAAATATTCAACGTTTTATGTTATGTGTATTATGCATTTAAATAATGGGTTTGGTTATGTTTGGGGAAAAACTGGAAATAGGAAAACAAGAAATTAACTTGATTATGTTGTTTTCCAGATTTCAATACAATTTTAGAAACTTTTTAAAAATGAGAAACGAGAAACATATCAAATGCTTGTATATTGCTAAAAACTAGAAACGATCAAAGCATCAAGAAACCATAACATTACTAAATAAGTTTTAAATTGCAATGTAAGATAACAAAAACCAAAATAACACCAAATTGACATCTTGAACATAGCTAAATAGATAAGACACTTATTACCATCCCAAAAATTGATGGTTGTATCTCCCATCCACAAACTAAAAAAGGTAATAATTTTGAAAAATTAGAACACACCTAAATAAAAAATCACCATACACTTGTTAATAAATAGATATAAAATTAACCAGTTGCTTTATTTAACAGTAGCAGCTAGGTTAGTGATTACCAATTGATTGAGGTAAATAAATGACTATTCCCTGAAATAAAAACATATTGATTATCATTATTAAACTAATCAACTAAGGCCAAAACCAACATAGTTCGATCTCCGACCAAAAGATTGTGAGTTCAATCTCTCATCCTCACATATTATACTCAAATAATAATAATAATAATAATCAACCCTGCATCATTGAGTTATTTTTTTATTGCTTTATTTTCAATTATTTTATAAATATTTATTAATATATATATATATATTGTTTTTTTCTTTTCTTTTTTGTGTGTGTGTGGAAGGGAATTGTGACATCAGGAGTGGTGATTGCACTTATATCTTGGTGTGTGAGCAAAAAAGGGCCACTATTTGTATCAAGCTTTAACCCATTGGCCATTGTGGTGATAGCCATTGCTGGGTGTTTAGTTCTTGATGAGAAGTTGCACTTAGGAAGGTATCTCTTTCCCTCCTTTGCTCTACCATTATTTCAAATTTCAAATTTTTCAAACAACCTTTCCAATCTAAATTAACACAACTTGAACATAGTTCAATTGATTAACATATATATCCACGACCAAATTAAAAGGTCGATGAGGTTCGAATCTTTACCTTCACATGTTATTGAACTCAAAGAAAAAAAATAAACTAAAATGTTAAAGTAGTATATGTTTGCAGCATATTGGGGGCAACTTTGATCGTTTGTGGATTGTATATGGTATTGTGGGGCAAAAGTAAAGAGACAAAGTATACGACTGAAGCAGTATCACCTGAAGCTCCCTCGACAACTTAATTATGTAGAGATTGTTGAAAATTTGTAACTGTAATGTTAACTCTGTAAGGATTTTTCTTTTTTTTTTTTATTTACTGAACAAGTAGATGAAGCAAAAATATTAACATTTACTTGGAAGCTCGTTTGGTGTGATATATATTTTTTCATTATCGTTTTCAATCTTAATTTTATTTTTGATAAAATAATAAAAGGGTGCAACTCGAACAATATAGGATTCATTATATAAATTATTGGATAAAAGGTTCTTAACATAGAACCTTAACCAATAATTAATCCAATAGTTAATCGTGAGAGTTTTTATTATTTATATTTATTTATTTTTTGAGTATTGAGATTAGAGATTCCAACTCAGGATGGAAGATTGGTGCCTTAACCAATTGAGATAAGCTCGAGACTAATTGTGAGGCTAAAGAGATGTAAAAATATATTAAAGGAGTGAAATAAAAGTGTTTCAATGCTCATTTTTAATGATGGTATAACACTCGACCCCACCACTGACAACATCAAAAAAATACTCCGACTAAAAATATTTGCATTCATACCGATAAGTAGGAGCTCTTATTGACTTTTTGATATGGCGTATTTTTATTGTTTGCTCAAATTTTTTTAATGAGATTTACGTATCTATTAAATAGTAATAGACCTTAATAAATATACACATTACATCAAACAGTTAATATGACATGAAAATCATATTGAATTGGAGTTAGGAATCCTTTAGGTACTTAGAACTCTAAATTCACAAACATTAAAACTCTCAAAACCAATTTAGCATAACTCCAAGGAAGAGTTAAGTTACCCTTGTTAGATCGAACCCCTTTGAGGAGAATTAGTCCCTAACTCAAGGTTTGAACACCTCACATGAAGGATGTTGGAATAATGGAGCCCAAATAGAAATTAATGTCCTATGAAAAAAAAGATTTTCAACACTACTACAAATTGGGTATTAGATTATGTCATCACTGTGCATTTGTACTACAAATATCCTGGGATGTCACCAAGAACGTTGACTGACATGAGGCCTGCAGCAGTGAGCAATAATTGCTATGCTCGAACTGCAGTAAAGGTTGAGTTACACAAAAGTATCCTACATTTGTTTTATGAGGTCCATAGACATATTAATTATTAATCATTAATCATACCCTTAAAATTTTTGAGATGTTGTCTTCAGAAGCGACGTTGGGATGGGAGCCTGAGACTTCTTTTCCTAAGGTTAGTACTTAAAATCAATTTAGTTACAAATATTTATACAATGTTTTTATTTAACGACTCCTTGTCACAGTATCAACTCTTGTTTTATTTGTTGAAATGGGTGGAGTCAAAACGACGTCAGAACGACCTAGGGATTAGTTGGGATCAAGTCGGTACGCATTGGGATCGAAGAGGGGATGAAAACAAGGGAAAGTGGACGCTGCAGGCCAGAATAGTTGAGAGTGCAACGTCGTGGTGTTGCTATAAGGCACGACGCTACAGCGCCACGGCGTTGTCCTGTTGAGGAGGGCACGGACTTTTGTCCGTCCGTAGCGTCATGGCACTGTTTCGAGTTTATAAATGTTACAATTTCGGATTTAGGGTTTCTTAGCCGAAATTTGAGCCGTTTCAGCCGATTTTTCAGAGGGTTTTCATGGTAATTTGAAGCGAGGTGGCTCGGGTATTGGTAGAGGCATTGGTGCTAATCTAGATCAACGGTGATTAGATCTTGATTCTTGTGAGTTTTTCATTCATGTACCTAAGTATTAATTGTGCTAAAATACTTAGAAGCTAGAGGACTTTTGTTGGGACCTCTAGGAGATATTTTTTTAGGGAGAGTTATTGTATCAAATCTTTAACATTATTAGTGAATTACCAACATCTAAATGGAAGACTGGATGTAGCCCTTAGTGGTGAACCAGTATAATTTGCTGTGTCGTATTCTGTGCTTTACAGTTTTCTTCCTTATTTACATTTTGTGGTTGTGTTTGGATATTTTCTGTGGAAGGGGAAATTATACAGGACTGTTAATTTCCCAACAAGTGGTATCAGATCTGTAGGGTTGCAGATCATGGGAGACAAATATCACGCACACCATTACTATGAAGGCGTTCTGAAGTTCACCAAAGAGAATTTCAATGTTTGGAAGATGCATGTAAAGGATCTTCTTACTATTGGGTGTGTTGCCCTAAACTCGTAGTTTGTAATTATGTAAAAACAAATTTATATTCAATAAAGTTATAGTTTCATATTCAATCAATTTGTTGTTGAATTCATAACATTGCATTGTCCAAATCAAATAAACTAAACATCCAAGATTATTATCATATAACTAGGATAGTATATATACTGGGTATATATTTGATATACTCTCGATATACAAGTGGATAATGTCTCCAAAATAACCTAAAGGGTCTATAGTATATGGATAAGGCTGGTATCCTGGCAACACTATGGATACGGCATACTTTGTAAATGTTACAAACAGCCCGATCCAGGTCATTTGTGTGAAGACATGTGAGTGGAGGTATCCTATACAATTAGTTTGTATAAGACTGGACCGGGAAATAGCCAATTTTTAGATACAACGCTGTTGACTAACAGATTGCTATTTTATATGATGACCAACAACTCATTCTCAATCCTGAGTAAATTATAGACTCCTACCCATGAGGGCTCGTCCTTTGATCTATATGGGTGAGAGTAGCCTGAGTCGCCGACTCAACATTCCTACCATTTTGGGGACGAGACCGAGTAGGGAGCTGGGAACATAATTTCACAAGATGAAATTCACTCCTCCCCGAGTTTAGAGGAGTAGATGAGTGTTCTCTTAAATGCTAACTCCGGGACTTGAACAAGGGGCCCCACCCTCTCACTGGCCCGAGAGGGACTTCCAGTTATTGGTCGGACCATAACCGAGTTACTCATTAGAAGAGAAGTGGTATTTAAGAAATAAGATGTAACTCAGGGGTAAAACGATACTTTGGACCTAGCTTGAGTTACGAGCACTTGTGAAGGATTGACTTGTCATTAATGGTCGTATATCCATGGACACAAAAATATTCTGCAGTGAGAAGAGTGCAATTGCGGGTGTTTAGTGGAGTAACCCGTAGTTAACGAATGTTGATTAACACGGTTAATGAATTTGACCGATTGATCTCGTATCGTTGGAACTTCTAATTTGTAGGTCCATCAGGTCCCCTTTCTAGCTCACAACTGGTAAAACGAGGATCAAGTTTCTTGGAAGAGGATTATATGTATGTATATTGAAACATTATAATATATGATTAATTCTAAATTGAAACTATATATTATGAGAGAAGTTATTTGAATGAGAATCAAATAAAAATCAATATGAATAGGATTCATATTAAAACTATATGTTAGATGCGAATTTGGACCTGCCACGTGTCATAATCAGAGAGGTAAGCCGATTTGACGTGCGAATGAAATTAGAAATTTTCCTAAGATTGTTCAGGTCAACGGTTACGAACCGAGCTAAAAGGATGAGCCGACCTGAACGGAGTCCGTAAACGTGTCTCTTCCGAACCCGACAACACGCCGTATTTTTAGGGTGACACTTTCTATAAATAGAAACCTTAGCTTTAAATGCAAGGTACGCAATCCTAGAGAGACTCGGCAAGTTAGCTCGGACTAGAACTGACTTGCTCGTCGAAGTGCTAACTTTGTTTTGCAAGTTTCAAAAGTGCTCTGGGAAGCTGTTGGACCGTTGGCCGTAGTTCATCCAGCACGTTCCGATCTACGTTATATCCGAGCTCAGCAATTTCAAGCTCAAACATCTGGCGCTGTCTGTGGGGACGACACATCCAGAAG